TTTAAAAAATATTTTTAAATTATTTTACGAGATAATTTTAAAATATTTTAATGTAATATTTTATAAATTTGACTAATAAATATTAATTTAATCTTAATTTTTTATATTTTATTGGAACAATTTCATAATTGTCTTAGTTAATTTATCAGTAAAAATGAAATGGTAATGGAATTGATTAAGATCAGAAGACTTGAATTTGGAAGCTACAAAATTTGGTAACATAGCTATGTTAGGCTCCTCGGCATATTGCAAGTCTTGTAGCTGTTTGTGTTTTTTTTTTTTTAAGTGCAACGAAAACTTTCCATTACAGCATCGTCGTACGGCATCTACAACAAAATCTTATTCAACAGATAAAAAGAAATAACAAACAAAGAAAATACATCTAGAGAGAAAAGTTAGAGTATACCTATTTTAACAAAGGATGAAAGGAGGTGAACAGTACACTCGAACAACCGCAAAGAACAAGTTTGTACAAATTTCGGGGGTTGAACGATCCAACAAACGAGACATCCTTCAATCTACTCATATAGGAGTTGCGCCAAGTCTTCAGGATGTCGAGGCAGGAAATTCATATAGCCGGTGATTGTCCCCCTTAAGCATCATGAGAAGCGCGATGGCCGCCAGAGTCGGAGAGACCAGCGAGCACCTCCAAAGATCTGCGTGATAGATAAATGGGCCGCGAATCTGAAAGCAAACAAGTAAAATAGAAAAACAGAAAACCAAGAAAATAAAACAGAAAAATAAAAACCAAAAAAAAGCCACCAGAAGGGACCCAACAACCGATAGACCACAAAGAGTCATCGGAGCAGAGAGCACGAAGTCGGCTCCATCATGCTTGAGCAACCAGAAATCCTAATGACTCAAGCATCAAAAACTCAAAAACCCAAGGGCTTCTGATCTCAAAACAATGGAACGCAGATGAAGGTAGTAAGAAGCAAGAGAAGAAGGTAGAAAGAGAGAAAAGTACTTTTTAATTGATTATCCTTGTAGCTGTTTGTTTTGTGGAACTATAATAACAGCATAAATTGTCTCTCTTTTCTCTTCATCCCTAGTATGAACTTAGTGAGTAATATGTTTGAAAATTAATTCAGCCCTTTATGGAGGGTAAGCTTCTCACTTGTTAACATTATGTTAAGCTGTGCTCTATCAATAGTTTATTTATTATCTAAAAAATATATAAAATATTAATTAAAATTAATAAAAGTACTTAAAAAATTTATAAAATTTATATTTTAAAATAAGATATTGTGTGAATAACTCAATAAAGTCCGTTAAAAGCATTAAGAAAGGAAGTTTTAGGGTACGTTTGGGATTGCTGTAAAGTGCTGTAACTATGATTGTGATGAATTATGTTGTGTTGTAGTTGTGGCTAAAAGTTACTATGCTATTTGGTTATTTATTTTTAAAAAATATTGTAGATAAAATATGATAGATTTTATTAATTATTAATTAAAATTTAAAAATATTATAAAATATATAATTATGTTGTGTTGTAGTTGTGGCTAAAAGTTACTATGCTATTTGATTATTTATTTTTTAAAAGTATTGTAGATAAAATATGATAAATTTTATTAATTATTAATTAAAATTTAAAAATATTATATGATGTATAATTACTAAAATAGATAACACTTACTACTTTTTAATAATTTAGGGTTTTTATATTT